AATTCCCCAATTGAGGCTCCCTCAACCCAGGTGTGTCCAGTTGACACTAAAGCTATTCAACACAATTGTCCCCTTGTCAACTTGACACACAAACATCACTATTAAACCATAACTTTCCAATTTCTGTCCCTAAGATATGATGCTAGTATTACAACATGAGACAGTACAACCTTCAAAACCCCACAGTCCTTAAAAAAAATCCAAGCACTTAAAGGTTCATTTTCTCTTTTAAAAGTCTCTTAACTGTGGGCTTCTGAAAAATCCAAAACAAGTACTGTCTTATTTCAAAGGGAAGAATAGGGCACACCGAAGCAAAACCAAAGTCCAGCAAAGTAGCTCAAGGCTGGACATCTGGGATTCACTCACGATCTTCTGGCTCCAAAGGGTACTGGCAGCTCCATTGCTCTGACTCTGCAGTCCACAGCACACTCAGCTGAACGACAGTAATCCCTTAGAGATGGAAATAGTGAGCTGTGCCCTTGTGCCAGCATATTGTGTAGAGAAAGTAACTTGGTAATGGGGAGTGCAAGCAGAGCCCAGTTCATTCTCTGAGTTGTAGAGATAGAATGAATGTCTTGAGAAACGAATGCAGCTAGACTTTCTAAGACAGAGTACCAGAAGTGCAAAAGCTGCAAGGAAGGAGAGCTCCAGAAACTTACAGATGGTCCCTTTGGGCACTGAGCTTAATACTTTTGAGCACATGCACATGAGAAAACCACAAGAGCACCTGAAAGAATTGAGATGACGATACCCAGCATTTATTGGAATAGGCAGTACCTGTTTACCCCAGCCACACTGCAAAGCTCAGGATTCACAAGGCATTGGGTAGCGTTTGCAGAATTGTCATGCTTCAGTGGTGGAGAATAAGTACTGCCTTAGATTGCATTCTGCTATAACCTGACCTCACATTTTGAAAGAAAGATTAAAAAAATCACTGGAGAAATGGGTCAGTGGTTAAGAGCATTGACTGCTCTTGCAGAGGACCTGGGTTCGATTCCCAGCACCCACTTGGCAGCTATGAACCGTCCTTAACTCCAGTTCCAGGGGAATCCGATGCCTTCTTCTGACCTCCGCCACATTGCATGACATGAGTGCACTCACATACATGGAGGCAATACACTCATACACATAAGATAAAAATAGTAAATAAACTATTTTTTAAAAAAATCAAAGTATCTTCACTCTATCCCACACAAAAGTCAATATTTACAGTAATCTACAGCTATCAGGTGACTACCAAGATAAATTCAGAAAGTCTGAATTTTAAAAAGAGAAGTACCAGCCATGCAAAGAAGTAGTAGAATATTTTATATCATTTTTCCTCATAGAAAATCCAGATGACTATGTGACCAGCTTACCTACCCACTACAGTGAGGAATAAAGCTTGGTGCATATCTTTGTTAACTAATAATTATTGCTAAATGATAAAGTAACTAATTGTTATGTCATCTTAAAAATACTTCCTCTGTCAGCTTTCTGTCACTTTAACAAATGCCGGAGCTAATCAACCTATATTTGCTCACAGGTTTAGTAGTTCCAGTCCACGAGCAGCCCCACTGCTTTTGGCCAGTGACATCAAGTCAACACACCCTGGCAGAAGTGTATGGCAGAGCACAACCACCCACCCCATAGCCAGGTGTCAAAAGAAAGGAAGGCCCATGTTCCATAATTATTTTTCATGGTATTAAGGATTAACTCTGTAATGTTTCCCACAGGCTCCTGTGTTTGAAAAGCACCATTTCAGTAAGCTGTAGGGCTTGGATGGCAGAGATCACTGCGGGATGACTCTAACGGTTATATCCTGGTGCGTTTTACAGTCCTGCTCTCTGCTTTCTGGTCTTACCTGGTCCTACTGCATTGTGAGGCACATTGTTACATGCCCCCACTGCCACCAAGCTGCTACATCATTCCCTCTGAAATTGTGAGCCAAAATAAACATTTTCTGCCTTAAAGCCTCCCACTGGGCCCCACATCCCAGCAAAGCTCACCACTTAGACCTTTGAAGAATCTTGAAGATACAAACTGTGGAATCTTCTTTTTTAAGATTGATTATTTATTTATTTGTGTTTTTAAGAGAAAGGGAGGTTGTGCGCATGCCAAGGTGCATGGGTAGAGGTCAGAGGACAAATATTTTGGATTCAGTCCTCTCCTTGTCCTAAGGTAAGCTCTATTGTTCCTGCCTCTGTACTGCATATGCAGGCTTCTGGAAGATTCTCCTGTCTCAGCCTCCCATCTCAGCTTAGTGCTGAGATTACAGCTTTGTATGTGGGTTCCAAGGAATTGAACCCAAGTCATCAGGCTTGCACAGCAAGTGCTTACCCACTGAACCATCTCCTCAGCCTATAGTACTTGCCTAGCATTCCTATAAAGTTGAAGTGTCCAAAAAATTGTCATTTGATGGTGTTAATTAAATGTAACATGTAATTTTAAAACAGGAATGAACTTTTTAATAGAATGAAAGTAGTATCAATATAATTTTTAAATGCTGAGTTAACCATGTAAAATACCATTTTCCTGACTTTAAAAAGTGCTGACCTCATTCTGTTTACACAAAACTTATCTGTCACTACAACAAATTGCCCGAAAAAGGCAAGTTTAAGAGGAAAAGTTTATTTCTGCCTCAGGATGTCAGGTTGAGCATTCCAAAGTCAGCTGCTTTGTCCATTTTGAGCCCATGCAAGGCACACTATCCTAGTGAGATTCAGAGTTAGAGAAATACAGAGACAAAGAGACAGTGACCCCTTTTTCAAGTAGCCCCCCCCACCTTCTACACTTTCTTTCACTTCCCAATAGTCCATTCAACTGTGAACCCATTAGTGGATTGATCCATTGATAAGGTTAGATTTGTGTTTTCTTCTCCTATCCTTACTGGAGTCCAGGTATAACTCCAAAGGTTGGTGTGCAGCACATGAGCCCTTTGGGGACTTCCAGTTACAAACTACAGCACTTCTTTGATGATCACCTTAATGTTGTTTATTTATTGGTCCATTTGGGGCAGTAATTAATGTTAAAGTGAATATAAATTTGAGTAAGATTAGAAATAGATCAGCCCTGTAAATTCTTATCTCAATTAAATTACAATAGTTTTCAGTAGGTGCTTTAAATTATTCCTAATTTAAAGTTATTAGCCATAAAAAGTTATATATCCATTCCCCAGTGTGTATGTGGGGGTATATATATGTGTGTGTACGTGTGTATATAAAATAATTAGAAATTTTCTAGATTTATTTATTCAGATTTTATATTTCAGTTGAGAACAGAACATGGTAACACATACTTGTAATCCCAGCACTTGAGAGGTTGAAGGTGGCAGATGAATCAGGAGTTCAGGGCCAGCCCAGACCACATGAGACCCTGTCTCAGAAGACTCAAAAAAAGGGGTGAAGGGGGCGGGGCTGGAGAGATGGCACCAAAACACTTCCTACTCTTTCAGAGGACCCAAGTTTGATTGCCAGCACCCATATGGCAGCTCACAGTCACCTGTAACTCCAGTTCCGAGAGATCCAGTGTCACCTTCTGGCCTTTGTGGACACTATGCACATATGATGCACTTAGATATAGGCAAAGCACTCACACATAAAATATATATAATAAGGGGCTGGAGAGATAGCTCAGCGATTAAGAACACTGACTGTTCTTGCAGAAGACCCAGGTTTGAATCCCAGACCCACATGGCAGCTAACAACTGTCGTAACTCCACTTCCAGGGGAGTTGATGGCCTCTTCTGACCTCTGTGGGCATTGCACGACATGGTACATGAAGTTATCAGAAATCTTTAAAAGGGAGATACGGGAGGAGTTGGAGGGGAGGGAGTGGGCATGGATTTTATCAAAACACCTTATATGCATGTATGAAATTCTCAAATTATTTTAAAAAATAACTTTTTAAAGAGACTAAAGATTATTTTAAGTACTCAAAAAAATCAAGAGTTGAAAAAAATTCTATGTAGACTTAGCATAGAAGGAAAAGGTACTTAATCAAGGCTGAAATTATGTAGAAAATCTTTGAAATATGAATTTTTTGGTTTAAAGTTTGTGTATTAAGGTGAGAGTATGCTTGACATTTTGGGGTGTTTTGTTTTTTTTTTCTTTTTTAAGAAGGGCCTCACTATGTAGCCAGGCTGGCCTCTAACATACAGTCCTTAGCTTCAGCCTCTTGAGTACAGGGATTACAGGCATGTACCATGTACCACCACTTTCCTTGAAATTTTTTTTTCAGTCTTTTTGGCACAGGGTCTCCCAGTAGCCACAGCTGACCTGGAACTCGGTATGTAGACCAGGCTGACCTTGCTCTCACAGAGATCTACCTGCCTCTGTCTCCTGAGTGCTGGGATTAAAGGTGTGCATCACCACACCCGGCTCCTTGAAATTTCTAATGTGCTTTTTTTCCCCTACAGAGTGTATATAAGTGTGACTTCCTGAACTTACAACTTCAGCAACCACTCCAGCTTGCACAAGATGCTATAGATGCTTTTCTGAAGCAGCTGAAAAACCCGATTGATTCTCTTCCTGGAGAACTCTTCCATGTGGTGGTTTTCTCTCTTCTGCTTTCCTATTTTCCATCACCCTACCAGCGATGGATTTGCTGCAAGAAAGCCCACGAGCTGTTGGTGCTAAATGGCTTATTACTCATCATCACTCCTGATTCTTCCCATCAGAACCGCCATGCTATGATGATGAAAAGCTGGAAGATTGCTATAGAGTCCCTGGGCTTTAAACGCTTCAAGTATTCAAAATTTTCTCATATGCATCTGATGGCATTTAGGAAAACCTCCCTAAAAACCACAAGTGACTTGGTTAGTAGGAACTATCCAGGGATGTTATATATTCCTCAGGATTTCAACAGTGTAGAAGATGAGGAATATTCTAACCCTTCCTGCTATGTCCGATCAGATGTAGAAGATGAACAACTAGCATACGGTTTCACAGAGCTCCCTGATGCTCCTTATGACTCAGATTCTGGAGAAAGTCAAGCCAGCTCTGTTCCATTCTATGAGCTAGAGGATCCCATCTTACTTTTAAGTTAATGTAAAAGCAAAAAACCCTTCCAGTTCAGACTCATAAACTAATTGCTTACACTAATCGGAAATACTAACATGAACTCAGTACTTAAAACCTGGTTTGTATCGTAGAAATGCAAAGGTTTACAGAGTTTGCTATTTTTTTCTACTTCTGAATTTCAGATTTTATTCTTATATAGGAAGCTTAAAGTTTCATGCAGAGTGACTTCTGTCATAGCAGAAACCACTGTTACTTTAGCGTTTCGCACTAAGATAAAAAGGTACCTTTTTTCTCTTTAGTACTATTGTGATAATGAAGCCTAATTTACTGTGTATTTTCCCTTTCAGTTCAGCGTTGACTTTAAACCATTGTAATGAGGAACTTTAAGATGTGTAGGATGCTGTAGACTGCACTTTGATGACTCACAAGTTAGATATTTCACAGATAGGTTGTTTAGTTGTTTAGTTGTTTTTGTGGTGCACTTATTTTTTTCTTTAAATTGTTACCTGTTACAGAAAGACATTTTCTCTTCAGTTTCATTAGACCATTCAGTATTTCCTGATCTTTTTTGAAATTGGTGACAACTGGTTTTCCTTTATTTCTTACTAAGCTCATTTGGCAATATTAGACATTGGGAGAGAAATTTCCCTAAATACATATTCTAATTTTATTAGCACAGTACAATAAACACCATTGCCAAAGTAGTATTTTCATGACTCTTATGAAATTGGGTATTGGTGTTCAGTATATTTACCTGTGAAAGTTCACTTTTATTTTTTAAAATTTAGAGTTCATTTACAAAATTTGCTGTTGAAGCAAGGAGCAATGTATAATACTTAATACTGACTGAAAACACCTTTGTGAAAGGGTTTGCACTTGTACGAGTTTATGTTCTGTTGAGACCAACTCTGATAAGGTCCTCGCCAGTCCATTAAGGAGGTGCTGCACTACAAGTCTGGAATTATATTAATGTTTTTAATTAACCCTCTACTGATACTCTTATAAAATGGTCTTGACCTTTTGGTATCCTAATTTCTTCCTAAGCCCTAGCAGAAAGTTTTCTTTGACTAAATAAACCATTAGTTGGCTGTGGGAATTTTCCCTTTCCACATTGATAAATGCCTTTCTGTGTTTCTGAATCAGAAGCAAATGATTAAGGAGAACTATATGTCCAAACAAGACAAGTTTAAACAGTTAAGAACATTTAGTCCTCATTGTCTTGTCAGCCAGCAGTTGTCATGTAAACTATCATTTTTAAGAGTGCCACTGTGTGGATTTTTTTCAAGTGGTTATTACATTAAAATTACCTCATACTGAGGTTTTTGCACTGAAATATCACAGTTTCAGATTTCAAAGCAGAGGATCACCTGAGCTTAAGAGCTCAGGAGCTTGTGTGTGTGTGTGTGTGTGTGTGTGTGTGTGTGTGTGTGTGTGTGTTTAATGAAAACTTGGCATTTTCAATAGTTGATCCTAAATTTCATAAACTGCACTTCTCTACTATGGTAAAATTGATGTTTTTATGCTTATTGTGAATTGCTATAGTTACCTTTGAATGTCAGATTTTGTTTAGAAATACAGAAGCTTACCTTTTAAGATATGTGTTTAGTTTGTATACCCAATATTTCAGATTCATTTTCACATGCTAAATTAATCAAAGTAACATGATTATAATAAAAGTCATTTGTCTAAATTCAATAAACATTGGTTGTTCAAATATGCCATAAGTCACTGGAAATTTTTCATTTACTTTCAGTAGCATACATTTCTGTAAATAGCGTTCACCCCCATCCCAGTTAAACACTGCAGGATCATGTCTTGTTCTCTCAAAAGAAATAAAGGAAAAGATTGAAAAAGCGCTATACTTACAATAATACAAAACTCTTAGTAGTACCTCTTTTTACCATACTGGGTTTTTGTTTTTTGTTTGTTTGTTTGTTTGTTTTTTCCTGATTCCAATCCTAAGAGCAAAGAAAACAATACACCAAATGAAATTGCTTTGAAAGTAAATGAAGCAGTACTTTTAGAAGGTTGGTCTGTGAATGACCTTTGGGACAGCTTTGTGTTACAGGGAAACTGTTGGTGCTATGAATTCTGATTGTTTACAGATGTTAAGTCTGCTTTTGCTCCAAAGTGTGCATGATGTATTTTAAGTAGTACTTTAAAAATATCTCTTTATAATACCTACTACCACTTAGTATAAATTTGTTTGAAACTGTATCATTTGTTACTGTAAATTCAGCCTTCTCAAATTTGGACTTACACCAGTACATACTCCACAAGACCAATTCAGTGTACAAGTTTTAAAAGAGAAGCAATCATTGTGGCTTGGGGTCAGATTACATAAGGAATGGCCAATAAAGGCAACAGGTCCTTCCAATACTGTTATGGATATGCTAAAAATTAATTCATTTGATAGAAATATGTTAAGGGACCTCCTGTCACATTCAAGCAGTTCCTCCGAAATAATCTGATATTTCAAAAACAAATGATAATTATGATGCTGAATTCTTCAGGATAATGAATAGATCATTTTACCAAGGTTGCCAAGTGGTGGGTAGCATACCTGAACGTGTATGTTTGTGTTGGTTGTATTTTTTCACATTTTGTGAACAAAAAACATTTATTAAAAATTTAAGTTTTCTAATATTCTTTGTGTATTACTTATAAGCTGAAAGGCTTTTTGTGTTTGGTGTGTTTCATTAAATCTGAAGGCTGTGGGTGGTTTGAAATTTGACTTTTAGAACTTTGCAACTAGGTCTCATCTAGTCCTCAATTTCACAAATTCATTCCCTGAAATCCATAGAACACGTCAGTTCCCATTAACAAACACCACCATGTTGTTTGTGACAGATAACAGCAGTAATTCTAGTTCACTATATGCCAACCATGGGTAATTTATTTTCAAAGAAAATGAAACGTATAACAGTTATTACAGTTAAGTATATCTTTCCCTTAAGGGCAACATTCAGCTTTTTCATGAAAGGGTTTTGGGTTTTTTGTATGATTTTTATTGACTTTCTGTGTATTTCATACAAAACATCTTAATAATCTTTATACCCTGTCCCCCATTCATACCCTCCCATAGGCCCCCCACCAGATTTCATGCATTCTATCATTTATGTTAAGGCCTATCAAGTCAAGTTAGAGTACCCAGATGTCCCTCAATGCAAGTTCACCCACTGGGGTCTAGGCAGCCTATCTAGAGTCACTCCCTTGAAGAATATCAACTTTCCCTCACTTGGCAGTAATCAGCTGCCAGTAGCTCTTTGGCTAAGTTTGGGGTCTACCACCCATTTCTCCAGTTCTATGCTGGATTCTTGTCTGCTTGAGCTTGCATGGGCCTTGTGCATGCTGACACTATTGCTTTTTAATTGAGCATTGTTTGTATTTTGCCATGGGCAATATCCTGGGGAAATGGCTAGCACTATGGTGATCACAGTTCCCATCTTTTTTGGAACTTAAGGTAGAAGAAAGCTAATGGTGAAGATAAGCATCCCTTGTATGATGTTTGTGTCTAGGTGTGCTTGCCTACTGATCCTTTAGGTTTCCTCATGCTCAACAACCTTCATTTGTTTCCCAGAGGTGGAAAAGGAGTTGTGGGACAGGTGGTTTAAACACACACACACACACACACACACACACACACACACACGGCAGGGGGGGGGTAGGGACACAGAAATCAGAGAGAGAGTTAAGCAAATTGCATTATTCACCACTCCAGAAAGTAAAATTCTCTGATTGTCAAAGAACAAAGCTGTAATAGAGCTCTTGTCCATTTTCTGTACTTTTCTAAGCACAGAGCAGGAATAATATTCCTCAGTAAAAGTCAGTAGGATGGAGGCTTAAGGTTTGGGCTGGGAAGAGAGTTCAGTGACGGAGCATGTGCTTAACATGTGCAAAGCCCTAACTTCAATCTCCAGCCCTACATTAAAAAATAAAGTATGATTTCTTCTCAGTGTTGCAAATTGTTGGATAACACAAGTGGAAAGGGGTTGATTATGGGAAGTTTGAATGATAATTCTGTTATTTTATTCTTAAAGTAATATCCATAATAGTTCATGAGGGAGAACATCATATTATCTATCATGAATTTTAATCCCCCAA